AGGAGGAGAAGTTAGAGGGGGGGGAGGAGGAGGAGGGGGGGGGAGGAGGAGGAGGAGGAGGAGGAGGAGGAGGAGGAGGAGGAGGAGGATAGAGGATATGGGTAAGAAGGAGGAAGAGGAGGAAGAGGAGGAAGAGGAGGAGGAGGAGGAGGAGGAAGAGGGGGAGGAGGAAGAGGGGGAGGAGGAGGAGGAGGAGGAGGAAGAGGGGGAGGAGGAGGAGGAGGAGGAAGAGGGGGAGAAGGAGGAGGAGGAGGAGGAGGATATGGGTAAGAAGGAGGAAGAGAAGGAGGAGGAGGAGGAGGAGGAGGAGGAGGAAGAGGAGGAGGAGAAGGAAGAGGAGGAGGAGGAGAAGGAAGAGGAGGAGGAGGAGAAGGAAGAGGGGGAGGAGGAGGAGGAGGAGGAGGAGGAGGAGGAGGAGGAGGAGGAGAAGGAGAAAGAGGAGGAGGAGGAGGAGGAAGAGGAGGATATGGGTAAGAAGGAGGAAGAGGAGGAGGAGGAGGAGGAGGAGGAAGAGGGGGAGGAGGAGAAGGAAGAGAGGGAGGAGGTGGAGATGCAGGAAAAGGGACAAGAACAGAACAAGAGGAAATAAGAAGCACAAGAAGATAGCGTGAAATGAAAGACAGTAAAATAAGAATATATGAGAGAAGAAGAGAGTAGAGGGAAGAGGACAAAGAAGAAAGAAAGAAAGAATAAAAGACCAGAAGAAGAGGAAGAAGAAGAAGAAGAGAAAGAAACAGAAATGGAGAGAGCAAAAGACGTGAAAAGGCAGAAAGAACACGAATAAACATAATAACCAACAGACGAGGGCGACAGACAGCTCTACTCTAAGCCTACCTTGCACGGGAGTCGTTCCTGCCGATGTGTCCACAGGCGAGTTGGCAGGCGTCAGGGGGGATTTTTTCTTGTCGAGGCCGAAGGAGGCGAAGAAATTCTCCGATTCTTCTTTGAGCTTCTCTGAAATCCCTTGAAATATAATAAACGCAGTTGTGGGCGGATTTCTTCAAATAACTGTCAACGGATCTCTCTCTCTCTCTCTCTCTCTCTCTCATGCACTCACTCACTCACACACACAAACACATTCTCTCTCTCTATCTCTCTCTCTTTTACTCACTTACTCATCTTGCTCTCTCTCTCTCTCTCACACGCACTCACTCACTCACATACACACACCCAAACACATTCTCTCTCTCTCTCTCTCTCTCTCTCTCTCTCTCTCTCTCTCTCTCTCTCTCTCTCTCTCTCTCTCACACTCTCTCTCTATCTCACTTTTTTACTCATCTCGCTCTCTCTCTCTCTCACATACACATAAAGAAACACCATCATAATAATGATGACGCCATGATATTAACAAGAATACTACTGCTATCATTAATAATGATCATGAGGATAAAGATGATAATAATAACAAAATAACAACAACAATAATGTCAATAATAATAATAATAATAATAATAATAATAATAATAGCAACAATAATAACAACAAAAATGATAATAATGATATAACAACTATTTACATATCCACTGAGTAGATTTTGATAAGTTTCATCATCATAAAACTCTTTATAAATACTTTTGAATTATCTGAAAAGGTATCTGCTGCCCAAGCTATGCCTCATTAGTGTAAAAATTATTAAAATCAAATAATGCACCAATGATTCTTATCACTTTTTCCCTTGTCTTGTTCCTCCTGCTCCTCCTCCTCCTTTTCCTGCTCTTTTCTTTCACTTCTTTCTCTGCCTTCTCCTCATTCTATTCTCTTCCATGCCTCACCTCCTTCTTTCTCCTTTTCTGCCTTCTTCTTCTTCTTCTTCTTCTTCTTCTTCTTCTTCTTCTTCTTCTTCTTCTTCTTCTTCTTCTTCTTCTTCTTCTTCTTCTTCTTCTTCTCTTTCTCCTTCTCCTTCTCTTTCTCCTCCTCCTTCTCCTCCTCCTCCTTCTCCTCCTCCTCCTTCTTCTTCTACTCCACTTCCTCTGCCTTCTCCTCATCTCATTCTCTTCTATCCCTCACCTCCCCCACCCCCTTTTCTTCTCTTCCTTCTCTTCTGCTTTCTCCTTACCCTATTTTCTTCCATTCCTTGCCTCCTCCTCCATCATCATCATCATAATTATAAACATCATTATCTTCTCCTTCTCCTTTTCCTTTTCCTCTTCTCCTTCTCCTACTCCTTCTCCTTCTTCTCCTCCTACTCTTTCTCCTTCTTCTCCTCCTACTCCTTCTCCTTCTTTTCCTCCTACTCTTTCTCCTTCTCCTTCTTCTCCTCCTACTCCTTCTCCTTCTTCTTCTCCTTCTATTCCTCCTTCTACTTCTCCTCCTCCTACTCCTGATCTCACCACACTCTTGCCCTTCCCCCTTCTCCTCCTACTTCTATTTTTTCCTCCTCTTCCTTTCACCTTCTTCTTGTCTTTCTTCCCTTAATTCTGCCCCTTTTCCCCCTCCTCTTGCACTTCCTTGTCCTTCCTTCTTCCTCCACTCTAATTCCTAAACATTTAGATTATCTATC